ACACAATTTTTGAGAGATTAATTGCAAAACATTATTGTTTTTTTTCCTTGTTCTTCAACCAATTAATTTTGAACTTATCAAGAGCCTGTTTGGTAGGGATTTTTGGAGGAGGAATTGATTTTTGAATAGTGATATGATGAGAAATGTGTGGTTGAAAAAGAAGAAAAAATTATTGATGTGATGAAAAATATTATTTTATTGAAAAATGTGTGGTTGAAAATGAGAATTGATTTACTGTAGAAAATAGAAATCCATACCAAACAGGCTACAAAATTATTTCTTGTGGCATTCAAATAAATCAAGTGAGATTATTGAGTCTTGTAATCACGGGGTCGACATATTGTCTACGATTGTGTTGGTTCCTTGATTTAATATTTTTGAATCAAACTTAAACATTGATTTTTGACTTTCTTGGAATTGAATCAATCTTGAGTGGGTTTCGTTGCTACTATTGCTACGTGGGTTCACATCAAGGAGGGTGTAAAATCCCATAATTGGGATGAGGGGCAGCATCATGTAGACCATGGAGAATAGAATTGGAGTCAATTTCTCGATTTTCGTACAAAGGCACGCTTCCCAATCATCGGCCCCCCAACCAAATTAGAAGCCATTTTCACTACCCTATGGGTTTTTCCATGTTCTGAGTTCCATAGAAGTGTGTTCGTGGACAAAAACTTATCAGCAACTGTGGATTTTACTGTCTCATGCATTGACGCCGACTGAATTGGTTTGAATGGAGCTCACCTTAAGGGTTTTCAATACTTTCGAGTCCAACGGTGATATTCCCCTTTGCTGAATCTTCCCCGAAATGCCAGAAAATACAGAGTGAATTTCTGTGTCATTTGGCACAAATCCTAAGGTGACGTTGCCCATCCCTGGGGTTTTTGGGGCTGATGTAATCATTGATGAGGGTCTCATGACCTGATTTGCACCAGAAAAATACTGAATTTTACATTCCAGTTTGTGTAGGAAAGGGGGCCACATTTGATTGTGAAATTGGAACACGTATTGCATAAATCAGAGGAATTAACGGTTACCCAATATATCACAAGGTAGTTGGAGATGAATTTATTGCCAATTCAATGAATTAACATCAATTGGATATCCAATTGGAATAGGCGGCTTTGCTTCGATCGTGCATATTGGGAAATTCAAAATTGGCTCATGAATTGGAGCAATTGGAAGTGTACCCATGGTTTTAGTATGCTGTTGGAGGTGCATAAGGGACCAATTGTTTGCTGCTACAATCGACGAAACCACCCTAATCACAATAATGGGGTTCTAGATTCAGGGCATTTGTGCAGAAATTTGATCAATTGTGTACTCACCGTTGTTTGGTTGTAAATCTAAGTTCCTCCAAGTGAATTTTTGGATTGAACGTTGTAAGATAAACAAGCAGAATGATAATGTTTTCTCTTCAAACCACGCCTTGATTTCCATTATTTTCAAAAATACATTTTTTCTCTCGTCTTTTCAATCATACATTGTTTAATAAAATAATATCACATACAAACCCAAATTTTTTTCTTATTTTTAATCACATATTATCTATTAATCTACTATTCTAAAATGTATTCTTTGAAAAAAAATAGGGCTCAAACTCACAACTGTCAACTGACGATGATTTTTTTCCATATCTAGGTTTAAAATTACAAGGCTGAAGGGAGACATTGAATTCATGTCTTTTAACTATTTTTCTAGGAAAACACCAAGCCCTTGTTTGAGCCCCATCTTTTGCCATCAAAATGAACTCTTGAACTGTGATTTGACCACATTACAATTACACATTCTTCAATAATTAATATTATACTTAAACTCAAAAGTTTTTCTTATTTTTAAACCATGTATGCTCCATCATAACACTATTGCAAAATGTATTTTTTGCAAAAATTGGCTCAAACAAGTTTCCAATTTCTATATGCATATAGATACTTTAGAAATCAATATTGAATTTATTTTCTGCAACAAACTTTTCCTTGTTTTCACAAGTTATCTACAAATGTTTTCTCTGCGTAGTGTTCAAATTAGAATGTAGATTGAATTCATTGAGGATGGCGGCGAAAGATTTGATTTTCATCCAATGCTCAACTAATCAGTCTAAAACTCCATCAACCAAGGCCTACATCAGCCAGGCAACCACCATTACTATCCCTAAACTTTCACCATTCGTTGTCTCGACTAGTTGTAAAGACATGCTTTTCAAACTCTAGTAGCTCATGATCTAATCTCAGTTCCAGGCAAAATATAGTCATGGGGTCCTTTCAGTGGTCTCATCTGCGGTGAAGAAAGAAGCTTTCCACGGCCTGTAGTATCAAATGGGGAGAAATAGAATCGGTTGTAAAACAAGCTTACGTACACGAATTCATCTCTTCTCTTCCCTTCCCAATGGTTATGATATAGTACTCCTATAAACAATAATAATCTACTGAGTAGAGGTCAAAAGCAGCGCATTGCTATTGCAAAGGCAACTCAACTCTTCAAGATCCTACCATTCTTGTTCTTGATGAAGCTACGGCTACCAGTGTTTTTGATGTTGAGAGTGAACACTATATCAAGGTCTAAAAGTTCGCCAACAGTAATTTTGTTTACTTTTCTGGAAAGATAGAAAGTGACTCTCACGCCTTGTTTTTTGCTGGAGATTCTTCATAATTGCGCACAGGTTTGTCATTTCAGAGTCTTGTTTTCTTGTTTGTTATAGGATTGGACTTGCATTTTGTAACCCACATTCCACGAGATATCTACCATAAAAGCTGCTGACAAACTTCTATTAATGGATAGCGAACAAGTTGTTAAGGTAATGAATTCATTTGTTGCAAGAGTGAAATTTGGGTGGAAAGAAAATAAATTACAGAGAATTGAATCCCCTAGAATTGTTTTCCTGGGAGTTGTCAATTAATTGTGTTTAATTAGTATAATTTTTCACCTAAAAAATGTTGAACTTTTGGATCTTTTGATATTCGTTTGACTTTGTTTTTCATAAAAATTGTCCGTTAAAGGAAAAAAATTTACAATTGGGGATAAAATTTGTTTCCATTGTGCAAAAAAGAAAAAAAAAACCCTGGGAAACCATTTTCCCACTAAAGTGGAGGAAAAACCAATTCATTGAAAACATAAAAAAAGGGTCATGTGTGGGGGGGTGGTTGGGAGGAAAACATTTTGCCAAGAAAAATTTGGCTATCAAACAAAACAAAAATTGGAACGAAATCCATGGAAAATAGGATGAATCAAACAGGGCCTAACTTGTAAAGATTCTAGTGAAGTTAGAAATTTGAAGTAAATGCTTGGATAACTTTGTTATTAGCATCTCTCAAGTAGTGGAATAAATTAAACAATGATTTCTCGTGAGTTGGGAAAAATTAATTCCTAACTAGACGCAGCATTAATACTAAATACTTATGATCTACCTACATGAACACGAATATTTAATAAGTTACAAGTCCATCACACCAACATATGATTTTCTAAAGAAAGTAGGATATGACTTGTCAAGGATAGGTTGATATTTTTTTATTTTTTATTTTATAACTTTTTTTATAGTTTTTTATTAGGGAAAATTGCAGCCATGGTACCAAATCTTTCAACTTTTTGCAGATTTTGCCCAAATCTTTGATTTGTGCCATCCACGGTACCAAAACTTCAAAAAATTCGCAGGTCAAGTTTGAATGGATGGAAACCATTAGTTTGACTATTAATTGACTCCAAAAAATTATTTTGACCAAATCAACAAAGAGCAAATGGTAACTTCATAATTTTAACATAAAAAAATAAAAATAAAAAAGTAACAATTCACCTTCTTCACAAACCACCCCCACCCCCCCCCCCACCCTCAAACGCCATTGGCCGCCACTGCCGGCCACCACTTTCCACCACAAACGGTGGAAGCACCTCCCAAACACCACTATGCAAAGAAAAAACTTTTGGTGTATGCATTTTTATTCCGGGAAGGGAGTGTGTGTGAGTTGTTAATTTCAACAATAGGTGGATACTCAAATATAAACAAAATTCATTTTAATAAAAACCCACATAATAATATTTGCAAGAACTTAAAACTAAGATCCAAAAGCCAAAAAGGAATCGGGTCATTATTGTCTTTTAGGGGAGTCAGACATTCATAACAGATTTCAAATTGGAAAGGGTTGAGAAACGGCGCCGAGTTGTCCAAAATGGTGACATCTTTTATGTTGACGGCGCTTATCGTCCGATCCACTGGAATCTACTCTGATAATTGCGAATTCAAGCTCTTTTGAATAGTAATCAGAAGCCCTTGAAATGAAATTGAAACGGAAGAGGCAAAAAATCAAAGCAAGAATATTAGTTAATTGGATTTACGGCAGAAATTAGGCATACATATATATATATATATATATATACACACTATTTTGGGGTGGGGGTTGGGGAAGAAGATGAACATGGGGGGTTTTTTAATTTAATTCTTTTATTTTTCTTTTTTATGTTAAAATTATGAAGTTACCATTTTGCCCTTTGTTGATTTGGTCAAAATATTTTTTTGGAGTAAATTAACAGTCAAACTAACGGTTTCCATCCATTCGGACTTGATCTGCAAATTGTTCGAAGGTTGTGTCGTGGGTGGCACAAATCAGAGGTTTGGGCAAAGTCTGTAAAAAGTTAAAAGGTTAGGTACCGTGACTGCAATTTTCCCTTTTTGTTATTATAGTGTAAACACAAAGAATAATTTTTGACTTGAAGGTGGAAGGGTCCATTTTCATTCAGAATCACAGAATGTTGGCCATTTCTATTCACCTTTAAAGTTTGAGGGGTATAATTGCAAGTACTTCAGAATTCAGGGGTGAAAACAACATTCGTCTTTCAAGAGTCAACCGAACTGGATATCAAATCAAATTCTAATACTTATAGGGTTTCCGCTAATTGAAAATCGCCGAAAACATTTGAACTATCGAACGGCACAGAAGACACAGCAATTTTTTTACAAATTACTCTCTCTGTCTTCTACCGCTGTTAATCGCTCAGTTCAATAACCCATGGACGAGCAGCATAATGGAAGCGAAACGAACCACATGGTTAACGTAGAAGATAACGGCGTTGGAAGAACCCCTGAACACACCAACTTTGAAAATTCTTATCCTCGCACTGGAGATGGAGCTAGTCCTGGGTAATTTTCTTTATGATGGAAAAGTATTGAATTATTTAAGTGAAATGAATTTTTAGTGGATTTTTGGGGATATGTCATGGAATGTAAAAAAAATTATTCGGTGATTAGTGTTCAGTTCGATTGAATTTCTCAAGTATTTGCTAAATAAATTATTGATCGGTTTCCGGTTTACTTTTGATGGAATGTAGAAAAATATTTATTGGGGGTCTTGCTAGAGAAACAACTTCTGGTATGGCATTTCAAGATTTTTTTTTTATTCAAGTTCTTTTTTTAATTTTTATTGCTTATCATTTTTTGAGTTTGGGTTGGGATTGATAATGCAGCACAATTCATCGAATATTTTGGTAAATATGGAGAAATTACGGATTCAGTGATAATGAAGGACAGGAAAACGGGGCATCCTCGCGGGTTCGGGTTTGTCACTTATGCAGACCCAGCTGTGGTTGATAGAGTCATTGAGGAAACTCATATTATAAATGGAAAGCAAGTAGGGACATATTTTTCGTGTTAATGCAAGAATTATTTTTTTTTTTTTCGCTTTATTAATAATTATAAGTTGTGGACTTTTGTTTTGCAAAATTTTGAAGGTAGAAATCAAGAGGACTATACCAAGAGGAGCAAGCATCAAAGATTTCAGAACAAAGAAGATTTTTGTGGGCGGTATTCCGACGACTATTGGTGAAGGTAATTATGAGAGTTGACCTAACAAAATTGAATGCTATCGTTTTATTTCGAAAATGGTTTATCTGGAAGGAAATCCTGAGAGATATTGATATTGCAATTTTTTTTTAATGTTAGATGAATTCAGGGACTTCTTTTCCAAGTATGGAGATGTGAAGGAGCAACAAATCATGAGGGATCATTCGAGTGGCCGCTCTCGTGGCTTTGGATTTATTACGTTTGAGGATGAACAGTCTGTTGACGATCTCTTGGCAAATGGCAATAGACTTGAATTTGCTGGAGCTCAGGTTTGTGGAACAGCCTTTAAAACCATATTTCTAGACCATAGTGTAGGGTAACAAGTTGATGATTTAGCCTACTTTTTCTTGGTGGTTAACTAGTATTGTTCACCAGGGGCGGACCCAGCCCATTTGTCTTGTGGCGTCAAAAATGAGAATTCAAAAATATTTAGAACTACATATCATTAATGAAAATAAATCAATACGCTATTACAATTGTAGCATATGCGTTTTCATACTTCGAAAACGTCATATAATTACGTCGTTATCAATATTGTTAAATACATCGTTTTCAATATATGCAACCAAACTAGCACTTAACCATTGATCTCCCATCTGACTACGTAGTCAATTCTTGTCAATTTTCATTGCAGAAAATACTCTTTCTATAGTAGCAGTAGCAATTGGAAGAATTAACGTCAATGTTATAAGCCGGTAAACTAATGGATACACTTCATTTTTTTCGTTTCAACAACTTTTTTACAAGATGGTTAAGACCTCGTAAGCCTTGAAAATCTTCGGTTGTGCACATATCTATAATATATGTTTGAATTTGCTCTTCAAAAGCCAAGATCTCTACTGGTGTAAAATCTTTGGGATAATACTCACACAACTAAATTAACTTGTCCTTGTTGAAAGCCAAAAATTAATTATTCAGACACAAGCATGCAACACAAAGGAGTAAATCACTATTTACCTCAGAGAAACTATCATTCAACTCTTGAATTTGCATATTGATGATAGCATAGAAGAAATCCACACGAAAGTGATGCAGATTTGTCAAATCCAAACCGGTGAATTATCAACTACCAAATTTCAAATACATTTTAGAAATTAGAAGAATCGGTAACGAATATGCACGAATTAGCTTCAATTCAATTGAAAAACCATTACCTAAATTAATTGAAAAATGGATTGAAGACAATAGACGAATTCACTGTGCGTAGGTCGGTAGGTAGCGTGCATATGGGAAAATTAGGGATTTCAGATTTTTGAATGAGGGGATATCAAAGTCACTGCCTTATGAGTCATAGTATATTAGTTGGGTTAGGTCGATGAATGAATTATGGATTAATGAGTTGGTGTTGAGTGTAATTGGACTTGGGCTTGTAAGTTGTGGATTTGGCTGCTCTTGGGTAAGTGGTAAAGGTTAGGTAAAAAATAATAATAATAATAATGATAATAAATTGTGGGGTCATTATGACCCCATGTGGGTCCGTCCCTGCTGTTGACATTGTGTTTAAATATAAGCTTTTAACAAAATCATCAAATTTAAGTCTCAATACTCAAATTGTAGGTTGAATATATGTTGCATTTTTAATTTCTGATTAGGTAAGAACTTCAGTTTTAGTTTTTATATGCTCGTTTTATCGATTTATATTCTCAAAAGGATTTCTTAGACAGTTTTCATGCGGTCCTTTAATATATGGTGATATTTTGTTGATTTGGAACTAAATAGTTACTATTAAAGAAAATTGATTGTGCATGAAAAAGTTTGAAATAGTGATGTCGTGGGGAGGTGTTCTTATAGTTAGAAGTTTTGTCAGAGCTCATCTTTGATTCATGAGAGTTCGATAATTGACCAGTCAAAATACAAGCTTTTGGTCGATCAAATCTGATGAGAGAACTCATACAAAGCAGCATTTTATTATTCCTTTTAAGAGTTTGTTCCCTGTTTTACGATTATCTCTTTTTATCTTTTGTTATGTAGGTGGAGATCAAGAAGGCAGAGCCTAAGAAGCCTAATCCTCCACCCCCACCACCGTCTAAGCGGCTGAGTAACTCAAGAGCTGGATTTGGAGATACCTACGGTGGATTTGGTGGTGGTGGTGGTGGTGGGTTTGGCAGAAGTGGTTTTGGTGTAGGTTCTTATAGATCTGGCGGAGCCTATGGAGGTAGAGGTAGAGGTAGTGGATATGGTGGAAGTGAACTTGATGGTTACAGTGGATATGGTGCAGGTGGTTATAGTGGATATGGTGCAGGTGGTTATGGAGGTTTCAGGGGGGATCCTTCATTAGGATATTCCAGTCGTTTTGGGGGAGGCTATGGTAGAGGCTATGATTTTGTTGGTGAGTATGCTGGGCCAGGTGAGAGTTATGGAGGATATGGTGATGGTGGTGGATATGGAGGATATGGCAGTATTACTGGTTTCGAGGGTGGCTATGGAGGGGGTGACAGTGGCTATGGAGGTGGCAGTGGAGGTTCACTCTATGGAAATAGAGGTTATGGTGGTGCCGGGGGTGGAAGGTATCACCCATACGGAAGGTAGAGGATACTTCTGAGACAAAAATGCCCAAATATTACTTATGACCTGCTACACAAGGAATTTAAACTTTTTTTTTCTGGTGTCAATTTGTAATTTCTAAGATCTGGTAGTGTAGTTCCAACCTTTTGTTCATTGGATATAAAAACTGAATCTTATGCATTTTCAGTGAATTTGATATTATTAGATTTTGTCTGAACTCGCTGATCATAATAAACTTGGAGTCTCTGTTAATTTGAATCCCAAAGGGTCTTTTGCCATCCCATAGTGCATGAAACAAATGCATGTATATATTTCTATTTAGATGGAATGTCAGATTTAAAGAATGAATTTCAAGAAATGTGCTGGAAATTGTACAAAAATGTTTGACGAGTCGAAATCCCTTGTGGGTTTATGCAATTTTAGTACCAATATTACAAAATCTCCCTCAGCATCATGCAATAAAAATCCATGTTAGGGGCATAATCTAATTTCATCAGCAACCTTTAAATCTGCTATGGTGAGATCTGTCATTCGCTACAAAATTATGGACCTCGCCCTTCAGTTCAATCGCACTTTGACCTGATACGATCTTCAACTGTCTCTCTTTGACTAACGTTCTAACATCAAATGCGTTATCCCATTTCCCTCCTTCAGCATATATACTTGATAAAAGAATGTAATAACCAGAATGGTTGGGATCCAGTTGGCGCAGATTATTCGCAGCAACTTCTCCCATCTCGATGTTTTGGTGAATCCGACAGGCCCCAAGCAAGGCCCCCCAGACGTGGGCACCAACAGGTTTTGGAATCTGATCGATAAACTCCATTGCCTTGTCCAACTCCCCAGTGCGCCCAAGTAGATCAACCATTATACCGTAATGTTTTGAATCAGGTATCAGTTTATAGTCATTCACCATCTTATTGAATATTTCAATTCCTTCTTTAACTAGACCGGCATGGCTGCATGCAGCTAAAATCGACAGGAATGTTACTTCATTAGGCCTAATGGCTGAATGCTTAACCATCCGATCGAAAAACTCCAGAGATTCCTTCCCACGCCCATGAAATCCATATCCTGCAAACATAGAGCTCCAAACTACAACGTCTTTATCGATTATACCATCAAAAACCATGACAGCGTCGTCCACACTGCCACATTTAGCATAAGATTCTATTAGTGAAGCCCCAACAAAAGAATTTTTGCTGAAGCCACCTTTAATCACGTATCCATGAACACAGCAAGTTTGTTGAAGAACCCTTAATTCTGAACAAGCCAGCAGTATTTTTACCATAACACCACCATCAGGCCGGATATCACTGAAAAACATATCGCAGAATACTCCCATCGACTTGTCTGCCATTCCGTTCTGGACATACCCACACAACAGAGCGGACCAACAGACAGCATCTTTCTCGGGCATCCTTTTGAAAACCTCAATCGCTTTGTCAGGGTAAGAGCAGTTCATGTACATATCAATTAGGGCTGTTGAAACTAATATATCCGACTCTAATCCTCTCCTTACAGCAAATTCATGTACTCTCTTACCCTCCTCCAAATTAAAAGTAGCTTCGCACGCTTGCAAGGCGCTAATCACAATAATAGAAGTGGCCTCGACTCCTCTAACCATCATCTCGTCAAAAAGATCAAGTGCTTTTTTCGCAGCCCCATTATGAGAAAAACAAGCAATCATAGAAGCCCATGAAATTACATCCTTCCTTTCCATTTTCTTAAATAAATTAACTGCAGAGTTTATAGAACCCGTTTTCGCGTATAAATTCAACAGACAATTCGACAAAGATAAGCTGTCATCAAACCCCATCCTCATCACATAGCCATGAACACTTCTCCCAGTCTTCAATTTTAACAACTGAGCACATGCTGAAACCACACTGACAAGCGTTATTGAGTCCGGCATTACCCCATTTCCCACCACCATTTGGCCAAAAATTTCCAGGGCATCTTCAGGAGCACCATTCTGCTCATACCCTGTAATCAATGTAGTCCATAAAACAATATCTGGCTTCGAATACTGCTCAAACACCCGTATTGCATCGCCCAATTTTCCACATTTCGAATATAAATCAATTAAACCCGACCCAACATACAAATTTAAACCAATCTGACCATTCTTTTCCGCAAATCCATGAACTATTCTGCCAAAGCCAAATGCTTTTAGTCCACAACAAGCCTTGAGGGCAATAGGAATGCTATACCAATCCGGTTTTCCACGAGAAACTAAACGAGAAAACAGAATCAGTGTTTCTTTATACTGTTTTTCTCTGCAATGACATTTGAGCATGGAATTCCAGATATATACAGTTGTTTGAGGCGTTTCATCGAACAGTTTGCGAGTGGTTTGAATAGGTGCGAAATTTGAATACAAATCGATCAGTTGCGCTGCAAAGAGAACGTCGTGAGTGAGCCCAGTTTTGATAGAGAGAGAATGTAATTGGGTAAAGTATTTTCCATTTTTACATGCTTGGAAAAGCTTGATGAGTTGATCTCTAGTTTTCATACACTGCCGACTCCTGATGGGCAGTTAGAAAATCTTGGCCAAAATGATAAAATGAATTTGTGCAACACAGTTTACAAATTGTAATTGGCCAAAATAAATAAATAAATAAATAATGGGTCCATGTGCTTTGTTTCCATGGCAAGTGTTCACTTCCACTTTTGATATTTTGACTCTCATATTGAGTTTTTTTAATACAAGACACTCTTGTCATTCGGTTTTGTCAATTTCTTTTGTTAAAGTCTTATAAAATAACGAATTATTCATCCTCTTAAAATAATTCGCATATACATAATTAATATATATATAAAATAGAAATGAAAAGAAAGTGAAAAAAAGAAATTCGATGCAAATGATTAACACTTTCTCTTTAAGACAAAATTGTCCCACAACAATACTAACGGATTACGGCACTTGCCTCCAAGGATGCAACAAATACAACTTATGGTAGAAACACTTCAAACAACAAGTGACAGCGAACTTCGATGAAATTTTTTCTCTCTACAAGAAAACAATTTTAGAATGATTTTTGGAGAGTTTTTACAAGAGATTTTGATGTAATGCTCAATGCAAATAATATGTGATGCATAATAGACGTCCAAATGCTCCAATTTATAGAAAATGAGAGGTTGTGAGTGAAGAGACATGCCCAAAACTCAACAACTTTCACGAAGGGAAGCATCCTTTACTGTCTCTAGCCTATCACTGGCCTCTTGCATCGAGCGTTGTAATACCTATTCAACAGAAACTTTTCGTCCACCTACTGCTCGAGCGACAACTTCGCCACTTGTTAGGCGCTACCCTGCTGCTCAAGTTGTTATTTTAATTCTTTTCCTCTTCGTTTTTCTTTCAAATTTGTATCACAATTTTTTATTTATCCGGAATTGATTTTGAGATTCCAAATATACTACAACAATCTACTTGACGAGTAGAACAAGTTAGCCTATTTATTTTTATAATTTGATTATCGGATCAAGTCCAAATATTTGACCAAAATTGATACAAAAAAATTTTCACTTCACCAAATTTTTCAATTTTTAAACCAAATTCTAACAAAGGCACAGTAATAATACCATCCAGCTGTTGTTTCTACACGACTTTAAGCTATTCTAAGAAATATCTGACCGCTAAGTTGCAATCTGGAACGTTCCTTGGGATGCATTCCCGTAGCAATTTTTTGCCAAAGCTACGTCTAAAGAGGCCCTGATGGCCCCACTTACATCGCCTCCGTATCCCACAAACTTCTCTTTACCAACGAGAGCAAGCAAATTAAGGTGATATTCAAGCATGTTAAGCTACCATTTTTCTACTCGAACACTTTCCCCCTCCAAATTCGAGTTGTGTCGGGTTGGATTCTTCTACTATATTTGATTAAGGCCAGTGTTCTAAGAAATTGTACTTATTATTAAATACTGGGCATAATTGGTACTTTTCATGTAGAATTGTTATAGTTTTGGCAACTTAGTAAATCATAAGAGTTGAATACATGGGGATGATTTTGGTAACATTGACAAATCAGTATGAAATAAAATTTTGTGTGATGAATATTTGTATTTTTGTTGTGTAAGTAAATATGGAAGAAGAGACAATGAAGGTTGTGTTGGCGATGGTGTTTGGCCAATTTTGTTTGACTTAAGGGGCAAGCAATTTGTCACTTTGTCAACATTCAATCTTACATGCATTAAATGTCCAATTTTAAAGATTGGAATATTGAATTTTGTGAAATCTTCCCCTTTAGCCGAAATATGTACAGGACACCAGTCAATCTTGTACATTTTTATGTTGAAATTGTGGTGGTGCAATTAATGAGGTATGTGCAGGGGTGGATCAAGCACCTGGCGAGCCCTCGCGATCGTCACGTTTGGGCTTTTTTTTTAAAAAAAAAAAAAGGTCCTAGCCCAATCCATGGCCATGGGTTTTGCTTGTAAATTGCAATTGCAAGTAGCCAAGTCCATTCCCATTTCCCCATAAAATCAAATACAATCCCATTATCCCAGAATCCCTAAATTGAAACCGGCATAGAAGTGAGAGAATTCTTGGCCATTTGTCTTTGGTATTTTTATTTTTTTTTCCATTTCTGTTGGAATTTTGAGTGTTTAATTGTATGTTTACAAGAGAATTTTTTAATTTGTGATTTTAGGGAGAACTAATTTTTATGGGATCTTTTGGTTTTGATGTGGGATCTGGGAATTATTTATTTATTTATTCATTTATGATTATGGGTGGTTGTTTTGGCTTTGATTGAATCTTGTTGCACTAGAGGAAAGGAAGAAGGGGTGTTGCATGAACATTAATGTAAATTGGAAATATCCCCAAATTTGCCAGTTTTCGCTACTGATCTAGAAATTAAAGTGGCTTTCGCTAGTGATTTTCTTACTTTGAAAAATTTATATATGCAAATGGTGATTTTTTCAACACGCTTGATATTATTGTGAATTTGTTTGGTGCATCATGTAAGCGTGTAATGCTGAACGGTCATCGGTCAATGGTCTCCACTCATGCTGAACTATAAGGCTGGATTCGCCCCTGGGTATGTGGCAACATTTCACTATAAATAAGGGATGCAATTTGAAAAGAAATGCAACACTTGTAGGGAAGAAGAGAAGCAAGTTAGTTGCTATACAAATATTGATTTCTCCTAATTGTATCCAACTTAGTTTCTCCTTTTATGAGCGAGATTAACTGTTTTTATATCTTATATTCATAGAGAAGATTATTTTAATTTTTCTGCTATAGTTTAATCCTCATATACTTGCCCGTGAACATAGCCTAAATAGGTTTATAGGGGTGAACTACATAATTATTTATGTTCATTTTTAGCTTTATTTTTCTCAATTTCACTTTAGTTGCGAGCTAACCTTGACCTACATTTTTCCTAACAGTGGTATCAAATCAAGGTTTTGAGTAGGATCATTGTTCATTATTTACATAAATTATACTACTTTCATTTGTAGTAAAATGATAGTAGTGAAAAAAATGATGGCAACGTACGAGATTAAAAAGTTTAATGGGAAAAATTTCTCATTATGGAAAATAAGAGTAAAAGCAGTTTTGATAAAAAAAAATAATAATTGCTTGATGACAATTGGATAAAGGTCCGTAGAGATCACTGACGATGGCAAGTGGAATGAGAAGGATGAAAATGCAATTGTTATATGCATCTAGCACTAGCCGATAGAGTATTGTCAAGTATGACGAAAAAAAGACGACAAAAGAGGTATATGATACACTAACAAAATTGTACGAGGCCAAATCTTAAACAAAAAACTTCGAATGATGGAGTCAACAACGATGGTTGACCACATCAACACCCTCAACACTTTACTTTCACATCTTACATCAGTTGGAGCATAATAAGAGGCGGGTAAACGTGATTAGATTTTACTCTAATGACTACCATAATCATATAATCAACTCATCATTAACTTAACCAATAATATAGAAAGCATAATCTTAGATGATGTTGCAGCTACGATTCGTGTAGAAGAAATTTGGCGCAGAACAAGGACGATTGATTGACAAGTTCACAATAGGCAAAAGATTTGACGACAACGAAAGGCAGATCAACAGAACGTTGATAACCCAAGAATAACTAACCAAGAAGATGGTGAATTGGTTTTTGAAACTTTTTCAACACTTAGTCTCAAAACAATATAATACACAAGATATAAACGCAAAATATAATACTACAATTAAATATGCAAGTTCGATAACTTAATTCAAGTATTAATATAGGACAATATAAATGACAATGTAAAGTAAAGTGCGATAATGTAAAGATAGCAAACTAATTTAATGGGATTCGATACACGATGTGTTCTACGTCCCCGTTACCAAGCTTTCCGTCACGAGTAAGACCAAATGCACTATAATGGTAACTTACAAACAAGGAGTACCGATCATTAAGTGACTTACAACAAGGAGCATTTATCCTTAGGTGACTTACAACAATGAACACTTATTTTTAAGTGACTTGCAACAAGGAGCACATATTCTTAACAATAATCGAGTTTTCATAAGGCTCTCGAAACCACTAAAGTATAAATGATGGTTTTACAATTGAAAGAACTTTCTTAACAAATGATATAATCAAGTCAAGTATTTAGATAGCTAGGGTA